TGATCCTCGATCCATTGATCTCTTCGGGCCTTTGGAAAAGCGGATTGAAAAGCGCGCGGCAGAGGCCCCGAGGATGAGGCTGCTTTTGAAAATGCTCCGAATCGCCCCCATCTAACTGCAAGCAACAACTAATCTCTCTGTATGCCCCTTCCCTCTCTCTCCCCCTCTCTCTCTCCCTCTCTCTCCCTCCCTCCCTATCTCTCTCTCTCCCTCTCTCCCTCCCCCCCCCTCTCTCTCACACACACACACACAACACACAAGTATTCCACCCACTCTCGCTTTTCGATGTTTTCCTCTCTCTCTCTTTTGCACGTCAATACGCTGCTTGTTTTACACATGTCCCGGAGTTCACCTTTGATTCTTCTGTTTTAAGCACTGTAACGAGGCCCTCGACCCCCCCCTCCTCCTTCCCACCCGTCTCCTCGCTTTTCTTTCTCTGCCTCGCTCGCTCGCTCCACAGGGGAAGAAGGGAAAAAAAAAACCTTTCCCACATCTAACACTACCTTAAGACAATTAATCTTTTTTACTCTTTCACCCTGGGGGAGGGGGGACGGGGGGACGGGGGGACGGGCAAACACCAACCGGGGAAAAGTCGCTCTGCTCCGGTTAGGAAAACAGCTGGTCGGGGCACTTTCATGCAAATGAAGGCGAAATTAAGAACTGTCTTTTCTTTCTTTCTTTCTTTCCATTCTTTCCTTCCTTACCTCCCTCCCTCCTTCCTTCCTTCCCCCTCTTTCTTCCTTCTTTCTTTTTCTTTATTTCTTTCCATTCTTTCCTTCCTTCCTTCCCTCCCTTTCTTCCTTCCTCCCCTCCCTTCTTCCCTTCTTCCCTTCTTTTTCTTTCTTTCCATTCCTTTCTTCCCTCCTTTCTTCCCTCCCTCTCTTCTTTCTTTCTTTCCATTCTTTCCTTCCTTCCCTCCTTCCTTCCCTCCCTCTCTTCTTTCTTTCTTTCCATTCTTTCCTTCCTTCCCTCCCTCCTTCCCTCCCTCTCTTCTTTCTTTCTTTCTTTTTTCTTTCTTTCCATTCTTTCCTTCCTTCCTTACCTCCCTCTCTTCTTTCTCTTTCTTTTTCTTTCCATTCTTTCCTTCCTTCCTGACCTCCCTCTCTTCTTTCTTTCTTTCTTTCTTTCCATTCCTTCCTTCCTTCCCTCCCTCTCTTCTTTCTTCCCTTTCTTTCTTTTTTCTCTCCCCGCCCCCAGCAAATCTATCAGGATTCACAATTAGAAAAATAAAATAAAATAAGACAAACCCAAGAGGCCAAGACGGCTGGTCTCGAAAGCCCCTTGGCTAGGAGGCTCCCCCACCCCCACCCCCAGTTCAGGAAAAGAGGTAAGCGGGGACTCCCGCCGACCTCTTCGGCTAGGAAGTCCGGTGTCTTTCAAGACTCTGAGCCGAGTACCTCGGAGGGAAAGGCCGAAGGGACCAACAGGAGCCTGCGGAAAATCAGCCCCGAACAAAAATCCACATCTTTCGCCCCCAGATGTTTCATCGTTCCCGCAGCCAGAAGGCCGGGGGAAGGGCGCTCCTGTGGCACTGGCCCCCTCACTTGGAAAAAAGGGGAGCCCGAAGGTGCCCAGCTGGGCGTGGGGTTCCCAAAGGGAACTCAATTCAAAAGCTGAGCCGCCGAGAACTTCAGAGGCAAGGCCCAAAGGGGTTTTGCTTGACACGGATTCTCTGCTGACACCCCCACACACCCCCCCCCGCTGCCCTCAGGGAAGTTTCCCGTTCTCAGAAGGCTCTCTGTCGTGGTAGCTGCGGATCACCCGGTCACGCTCCCAGCGAAAGGGCCGCCTTCCCTCAATACCTGGCAGCAGGTCTTGGCCAGCGTTTAAACCTTACTTAAGGGCGTTTTTGGTTTGGTTTTTTTTTCCCCTTGGGAGAAGATATTGGGTGGTGGGAACTGTCGGGTGGGTTTATGTGGGGGAGGGGAAGCGAGTCCCCAGGTAAAAAAAAAAAGGTTGAGCATGAGGTGTGGAGTCCGCCAGAGAGAATCTATTGCAGGCAACGCAACTGCCTTCCTTTCCGACGCGTCCTTGCTTCCAAACGTGTCTTAGGCCATCGGGGGTCAGAGGATGCCGAAGGCGGGGGGGGGGGTGTCGAAAGTTGCCGAGAATTTGCAACTCGATCCGATTTTGGCGTTCGCCCCTGGGGCTCCTCCGTCCCCTCCAGAAGGTCGGCCAGCCGGTTTTACGGTCGCCTCGGCCCAGTCTTTTGACGGGATAGAAGAAGTCTCCGGCCCGGGGCAGGAAAACGAGAAGGGGGAAGACCGGAGCCAAGAGGATGCGGGAAAGAAAAAAAAAGAAAAGACCCCAGGCCGCACGTCGGCAGGTGAAATCGAAGCGACATCCAACCGTAGATGCGCCAGCCGGCGGGCGAAAGCCTTCGAAGGCAGCCGTAGTTCATATCATCCGGCAGGCCTGTTGGGCGAATAGCTTGGACCGAAAGAGGCCCAACCTTGTCCCGGGCGATCAAGGGAACTCGCCTCGCCTGAAAGCTGGCCTCCCCTGAACCCCCCTCCCCGCCCCCGGCCCGTCTTAACATCATTACGGGCAAACCAGTGTACTGGGGGCCCCTAGCCACCTACTCACAGCAATAAAAATGTAAACGGTCGATAAAATGAAATATATATCTATCAGCGTTATCAGTGTTAATTTCTATTAACGCATGTTAGTATACCAGAGCCCTGGTAGCGCAGCAGACTAAAGCACTGTTATTAATGTCAGCTGCCTGCAATTACTGCAAGTTCGAATCTCACCAGGCTCAAGGTTGACTCAGCCTTCCATCCTTTCTAAGGTAGGTAAAATGAGGACCCAGATTGTGGGGGCAATAAGCTGACTTTGTATAAAAGATACAAAAGTATGAAGGCTTTTGCTTAACGCATTGTAAGCCGCCCTGAGTCTCCGGAGAAGGGCGGCATATAAATCAAAATTAAAAAAAAAAAATTAAAAAAACGCACTAAAATGTAATAAATATGTTGCTGTATTTATAGGATAGAAGGTGCATCGAAGGGTTAACATACACAGATTAGTATGGGGCCCCCTATACTCGTGGGGGAGCCCACGGGCAAGTATCCATTAGGCCCAGAGCGTTAAGACGGCCCGCCTGGAGGAAAATATCCAGGCCTCCAGGCCTTCCTCGGGGAAATTCCAGGCCCTGCCGACCCCCCCCCCCGAAAGTCACCCAAATGGGTCGGCAGCATAAAGCAGTGGTGTTTAAACTCCTGGCTGGGCCTGGACAGAGGCCCTGCATTACCCAGAAGAAGAAAACGGGCGCCAAGAAATGCCTCTTGGGCTCTGGGTGGATCCCATAAGGAAATCTGTTCCAGAGTCTCCGAGAAATGGAAGGGGGGGGTGGATGAAAGCGGGACAAGGGGGGGGGGGGACTTCAAAGAACAGCGGCAGGAACAGTTGCAGAAGAGGAAGAGCAGCGAAGGCATCCTAAAGAGCAATTAGCAGCACCGACGGTTGTAGGCTGTATGGTGGTTCATATAACACCAAGGGTAGGAGTGAGTCCCACGGGAGACTAACGGGGGTAATTCAGGGTCCTCCTCCGGTTCCAAGGACCAGGAGCCGTGGAAGAAGCTTGATCGCTCGGGAAGTGGAGAAAAAAAGGGACGGCCAAGCAAGCAGCGGGCTCCCCCCGACTCCCCACCCGAACGAGGTGCCGGGCTCAAGGGAAACGAGCCTCGCGGCTTGTTTTGCGGGAATACACATCGCATTTACCCGGAGCGATTTACTCTTTTAAATGGAATGACAGATAGATAGATAGATAGATAGATAGATAGATAGATAGATAGATAGATAGATAGATAGATAGATAGATAGATAGATAGATAGATAGATAGATAGATAGATAGATAATCTATATATCTATCATCTATCATCTATCTATATCTATCTACCTACCTACCTACCTACCTACCTATGTAGATGCTAGAGATAAATAGAGATAGAAATGTAGAGAAATCTATCTATCTATCTATATCTATCTATCTATCTATCTATCTATCTATCTATCTATCTATCTATCAGCCATTTTCATATATATATATGAGTGAGTGAGCGGAGAAAGACAGACAGCAAAGAGACAGACGGGCGATATATATTCCCTTCCAAGGGAAGCCGTCCGTCCGTCTGTCTCTTTGCTGTCTGTCTTTCTCCGCTTACTCACTCTCTCTCTCTCTCCTCTCTCTCTCTCCCTTTCCTTCCTTCAAAGTCGCACCAGGCTTGTAATCAGCAACACAACCTGACATAAATCAAGGCCGGATTGACGGGGGCTGACAAATAACTGATGGATTGCGGTTGGAGAGCATTGACAGCGGATGAAGGAGAGGAACCGAGGGAGAAGAGCGCGTCTCCCCCACCCCCACCCCCTGGCCGGGAGGGGAGGGGCAGGAGGAGGAGGAGGAGGAGGAGGGAGGGAGGGAGGGGCCTCATTCACGTGACACCCCCCCCGGCCTCGCCCAATCCCCGCGTGGAATTTCCCCACGCCCCTCCAGTTCCGCTTGGAGGGCGCTGGGTTGGCGTATTTGGAAGGAGGCGGCCCAGGACTTTTCCTGCTTGTTTTCGTGCCGGAGGAAATCCGATCCAGGCCCCGTCAGCTTTTTTTTCTCTCTCCCCCCTCCCCATAAACTGAACCCCGGGGCCGTTGCACGGAGAGCACGGAGCGCAGCGCCTCTTGGTTTTTTTTGGGGGGGGGGTCCCATCGGGAGGCCGGGAAGCGACCTTAACCCAAGCAAAATCCACCCGGCCGATCTTGTCCCAAGCTGGGAGGGCGGGCAGCGTCTTGCACCCCCTCCCCCCCAAAAAAGCCCCTCGCGGAGTCTCTGGAGGCCGGCAAAGTGGGGAGGGGGTTTTCTCAGGAATGCCAGGACGGGCAGGGAACGAGCCCCGCTGAGCTGAGCAAAGGCAGGAGGCGGGATGGATGGCTGGATGGCTAGATGGATGGATGGAGCGGGCAGAGCGATGAGTGGGTGGGTGGGTGGAGGTATTGGGTGGGGGGTCGTCGGCCGCGGAAAAGCCCTTGAAGAGGCAGCGTGACGTCACATCCCCTTGACCCTCCAATCACCTCGGGCTCCCATTTGATTGGAAGGCGGCAAAGGCTTTAATCTCCCGACTAATTCAGCTCGCTCGGGAAGCCACTTTCTCTGCCAGAGCCGAGGCTGGTGGGGCAGCGGCTGGCTGGCAGGAGAGCGGCTTGGGCGGAGAGGAGGAGGAAGAAAAGAAGAAGAAGAAGCAAGAGACCGAAGGAAAGAAAGAAGGAAGGAAGGAAGGAAAAGAAAGGAGGAGAGAGACCGGCCGGGCAGAGGGGGGTTGAACGGAGGAGATAAGCCCGGGCTCTTCTCTCTCCACCCCCCGTCATCCCCTCCCTCTCCCCTCGGGGGGGCACACAACCCTGCCCCCCCGTCCACCCCAAAAAAGCACGGATTTATTTCTCCAGCGGTTGAAACCTCGGACTTTTCCCTTTGGCCCGATTTTGAAAAACGAAAGAAAAAAAAGCCTGAAAAAAAAAGAAAAGAAAAGACTGGGAGAAAAAAGAAAAAGAAAAAGAAGGAGAAGAAAAACCTTCGGAGGAATCTGCTGCGGCGGCTTCTTCTGCTGCTGCTGCTCCCGGTTTTGCAAAGGGGGCGGAATCTTCCTCCCTGCCTTCTCACCCCCCACTCCACCCCCCCCCCCCCCCCCCCCCCCCCCCCCACTCTTCGGTCCCCGAAGTCGCCATTGGAAGCTGCAGACGCTCCGTTTCGGCTCCTGAGCAGCGCGTTCCCGGCGCTCCCGTCCGTCCGTCCGCCCGTGTGTCCCCCCCCCGCGCGTTTTCATGCGAGCCTTTGGGTCATGATTACAGCCCCCGCGCTTTCTGCCGTAAGAAGTAGTCCGCGCGGAGGCGGAGGCGCAGGAGGAGGCGCGCCAGAGCTCGGGAACGGCGGCGGCGGCGGTGGTGCTGCTGAGCTCCCTTGGCAGAGCGGGCTCGCTGGGAACCTTATCGGCGGCGTTGTTGGCGGCGGCGGCGGCGGCTGCTGCAAAGCTTTCTTCCACGCCATCCCCCCTTCGGACCCTTTGCGCCAAGCCAACCGTCTGCCCATCAAAGTCTTGAAAATGCTCACGGCACGGACGGGACACATTTTGCATCCCGAATATCTCCAGCCGTTGCCTTCCACGCCGGTCAGCCCGATCGAGGTAAGTAAGACACACCGGAGAAGGGGGGGGGGGCGGCAGGAGAGAAAGGGACCCCCCGTCCTTTGGTGTGTGTGTGTGTGTGTTTGGTGTGGGTGGGTGCGTGGAATCCTTTGTAGGGCGCTTGCTTCGTTTCAACAACTCTTCCCCCCCCCTCTACAGACACACACACATATACCGTCGTCCAGCCTGGGGCGATTGATTTTGGGGGGGGGAGAGCAAGTTGAGTTGGGTACCCCTAAAAAGCTCTCGGAGGGACCCGCCGTGCGTCCTTCGCCTTGGGTGGAGAGGGGGTGACGCGCCCCTGGCTTTCCATTTTGCATTCTCCGTTCTTGAACGGGGGGGGGGGGACGGCCGGGTGCTCCGGCGGAATTTGCCACTTCATCGGCGGGCTCATTCCTGCCCCCCCCTCCGCCTCCACCCCAACCCCCCCACGGCTTGTTGGTTATGGAACCAGATTGCCATCCAAGGGACGGTAACCTGAAACTGAGCAGCCCCTACCGGTTCGAGAGTGAGGGTTTGGGAAAGAAAGCCGCCCTGGCCGCTTGTTTTTGTGTGTGTGTGTGAGAGAGAGAGAGTGTGTGTTTGTGAGAGTGTGTGTGTGTGTGTGTGAGTGTTTGTGAGAGAGTGTGTGTGTGTGTGAGAGAGAGAGAGCGCTCTTCGGGCACGGCGAAGCTCTTGGGGGTACAGCCAGATAAACGGATCGGGTCTCGGGGCGTCGGGGTTCCACAGGGCTCTCCAGGGGCGCAGCGACGGGGCGAGAGGGCTGCGCGAAGCAGGGCTCGGGGCGGCGTCCCTGCGGCGCCCGCCAAAGAGTCCCAACGGGGGAGAGGGGACACACGGACGACCGCGGGGGGGGGGGGGGGGGAGCAGCAGGGGCGGGCGCCGGCTTGGCCTGCCGTGGGGGGGGGAAGGGCGGCTTTGAAAAGGGGGGGGGGTTGGGGGGGGGGGGTGTAGGCAGCCGCTTCGGGGGAGCCTCCCTGCCGGCATTCAGGATTCCAACTCTCTTCTCTTCCCCCCACCCCACCCCACCCCACCCCACCCCGGCCCTTCTGCAGCTGGACGCCAAGAAGAGCCCGCTGGCTCTCCTCGCGCAGACCTGCTCCCAGATCGGCAAGCCGGACCCCTCGCCTTCCTCCAAGCTCTCCAGCGTCACGTCCAGCGGAGGCGGCGGCGGCGGCGACAAGGAGGCGTCCAAGGGGGGCCCCTTGAAGCTCAGCGACATCGGCGCCGAGGACAAGTCCAGTTTCAAGCCTTACTCCAAGCCCGGCGCGGATAAGAAGGATTCGTCGGCCGTCGGAGGCTCCGGAGCCGCATCCGGAGGGAGCTCGGGCGGTGGCAGCAGCAGCAGCAGCGAGAAAACGGGATTCCGGGTGCCGAGCGCCACCTGCCCGCCGTTCACGCCAAGGACAGGCAGCCCCAGTTCCAGCGCCTCGGCCTGCTCGCCCGGCCTGCTGCCCGGCGGGGAGAGCAAGGGCGGCGGCGGGAGCAGCAGCGGCGGCGGCGGCGGCGAGGCGGAGAAGAAAGAAGCGGCGGAGAGCTGCGGCAAGAGCGCTTCCGACGGCTCGGGGCGCCTGGCTTCCAGCGGCGGCGGCCTCTCAGCCGAGCTGAGCCAAAGCCACGAAGGCGCCAAGGGGCTCCTGGCCGGCGTCGCTTCGGCCGCCTCTTGCTCGACGGCGGACTCGTCCTGCAGCGCCGTCCCGTCGTCGGTGGCCGCCGCTGTGCTGGGTTCAGCCGGTTTGGTGGCGCCGGTCTCTCCTTACAAACCGGGCCAGACTGTTTTCCCGCTGCCGCCGGCTGGCATGAGCTATCCGGGCTCCCTAGCCGGGGCGTACGCCGGTTACCCACCGCAGTTCCTGCCGCCGGGCGTGGCGCTCGACCCCAGCAAGGCTGGCAGCTTGGGGGGAGGCGGCGGGAGCGGCGGCAAAGCGGCGGGTTCGAGCCCCCTAGCCGGCGCCTCCCCGCCGTCGGTGATGACGGCCAGTTTGTGCCGCGATCCTTACTGCCTGAGCTACCACTGCGCCAGCCACCTGGCCGCCGGCGCCTCCTGCGCCCACGAGCAAGCTCTCAAAGCCGGCGGCTACCCGCTGGTTTACCCGGGGCCGCCTCTGCACGCCGGCCCGCCGTCGCTAGCCGGCCACCCGCTTTACCCTTACGGCTTCTTGCTGCCCAACGACCCCCAGCCTCACAGCTGCAACTGGGTCTCGGCCAACGGGCCCTGCGACAAACGCTTCGCCACTTCGGAGGAGCTGCTCAGCCACCTGCGGACTCACACGGCTTTTCCCGGCCCGGCTGAGAAACTGCTCTCCGGTTACCCGAGTTCCAGCTCGTTGGCCGCCGCCGCTGCAGCGGCCATGGCTTGCCACATGCACGTGCCCACCTCGGCGGCCGGTGGCCCGGGCAGCCCTGGCGCTCTGGCTTTGCGCAGCCCGCACCACGCCTTGGGACTCAGCAGCCGCTACCACCCTTACTCCAAGAGCCCCTTGCCCACCCCAGGAGCCCCCGTCCCGGTCCCGGCCGCCACTGGACCCTATTACTCCCCTTACGCACTCTATGGGCAAAGACTGACGACAGCTTCCGCGCTGGGATACCAGTGAGTTTTTTTCCCCCGGTGTGTGTGTGTGGGAGGGGGGGGTCGCCGCCTGAGGCTGGGGTTTTGTTTTTGGTGATCCTTTGGGGGGGCGTCGGGGGGTGGGGTGGGTGGATTTGAAAGCGAGGGAGGAGGAAGGAAAAGACCGCCCAGCGTCCCTTGGAAAGTTTCTTAAGGATGGATGACCAGACAAAAAAAAAAATGGCAAAATTGGACGTTTTTTAAATAAATATATATATAAAGATAGTGTTCATCTTGAGGACTGGATCCATGGGCACTGTATTTATTTATGTTAGCTTCAAGCGGGACGATGAATCCATTTAAAAAAATAAAAATAAAAAGTGCATTACCTAATTTCAGCTCGATAGGCTTCAAGGAAAACAAAACAAACAAAAAAACACGCAAACAAAAACGAAGTGGAAACACCCGTTGTAGAATATAAATCAATAAAAAGAAAACGAGAACTAGAAGTCTTCTCTTTAATGTTACTTTAAAATTGCTATGATTGTACTGTATTGTACGTTCTTATTTAACGGTGGGTCGGTGGGTGGGGCAAATCCCCCCCTCCTCAATGCATGTCTCTTTTTCCAAGAACAACGCGGCTCTTAACTTGCAATTTGTCTATTCCAGTCTTCAAATTGCAGCGATTTTTCAAAAGTGTATCCAGTGGCAAAGAGAGCGAGAGAAATTGGTATTTTTTTTTTGTATGTATCCTGGCAGGAAGGAAACCCAACCACCAACCACTCTTTTCCCAAAAACCTCCGTTTGCCTTATTTGTATTCTTTCAAAAAAGAAACACTTGACTATTTTTTAATTTTTAAGGTCCACCCCGTAGCTAGGGACAGGAACAAGGGGGTGACGTCATGTATTTAAAAATAATAAGACAATGTATCGCTTTAAAAGATTAAAATTCTGTATATTTGATGTATTAAAAAAAACAACAAAGGTTTTACTTTTCTTTTGAAATAACCTTTTGGAGTCTTGTTATAAATGCTCTTTAATTACTTGGGCGGATGAAAGCAAAGGAAGAGAAACAGCAATTGAAGGTTGATTATGCTCCCGGTTTAATTAGCACCCGATACTTTTCTTATTGCAGCTGCAGAGTTGTTAAGCAGAACTGGGGCAATTTAAACTCAAAACAAAACAAAGACGAAGTCAGCTTCTGTTCTAAGGGGGAAAGGAAGGCGTTTGGCTTCCCGGGATTTGCCCACCAAAGCCGTGGAAAGAACGTCTGGGCTTTTCAAAAGGAGGGAAAAGGTCGCTGGCGCGCCCTGTTCTTGTTTTGCTTTTACGCGCGGCGAATAAACTCCTGGCTCAGTTTAGGGAAACGCGGGACACGATCCAGCCCACGAATTCTGGAAGGAATCGGGCAGGCGGCTTGGGAAGGGGGTCTTGTCCCATCTCCCCGTTCTTGGCTTGAACAAGAAAGATCTTACCTGCTCGGGAGAGAAACCTTAAGATCGACCGTGGCACGGAATGGGTCTGGTTTTTTTCCGTCCCAAAGGAGCGAGAAATGAAAGAAAGGGATGCGCGTGGGTGTGTGTGTGTGTGTGTGAAGGAGCAGATTTATTAAAAAAAACAAAAACACGAGCGAGAAAGTCCCTTAGTTAGGTGGGAGTGGGGTATTTTGAAACCCTGGTTAGTTTGGCCCGATGGCTGAAAAACCAAACGCTTTGGGTAAAACAAAACAAACAAAAAAAAGGTTTCATTTTCAGACAGGCGGGGAAAAATAAGATCTACAAAATCTCGTTAGATCCGTCGTTGCAGGGGAAAAAAAACAAAATCGACCACGTCCGTAGATCCTCCTGCTGCTTGTGGCGACGTTCCCACAGGCTTAAATTTGGCTTGAGCGTTTTTAACCCTGGGTTGAAGGAAGTCTCTTTCGGAAGTCTCCGGTTTATTTTACGCGGCGTGAACAAAAATCCCCTTTGGTTAAGTAAGACATAAGTGCTTTTTCCGTGGCCTTTTGTGTGTTCAAAGCAAAGGAGCGAATTTCAGCGACCCGTTTTAGTCGTCTTGTGTGAATCCGGATGCGGGGATGTGGAGAGACAGCTGGCCAGCAGGTTTTTTTGGAGGGGAGTGGAAATAAACCCTGACTAAAACCCTAATCCCCTGGTCACTGGTGCGGAGGTAGCTGCGTGGAAAAGGGAAGGGGGTGTCGTACCTCTGAATGGGAAGTGGGGATTGAAAGAATTCCCCATCTCCTAAAATGGGAAAGGGGAAGGAAAGACGCTTAATCGCTTATCTATCAGGCTTGCGGCCTGATTTTATTTTTATTTTTTTTTTACTTCCGAGTAGATTTCTTCCTACAAGTTTGAAGAACCCAAAAGCTGCCGAATTTAGAGGTGCGAGGCGAGGCGAACTTCAGCCCGTCTTTCTGGCTTTCTACTTCCCTTTCCAGTTTTATTTCCATCCACTATATTTTCCCCTCTTTGAGATGGAAAGTAAGTAAAACAAGAAGGCTTTGGCCTTGTTTTGTTTTTTTTAAAATTTGATTTATATGCCGCCCTTCTCCGGAGGCTCAGGGCGGCTTACAATGCGTTAAGCAATAGCCTTCATACTTTCGTATATTTTTTACAAAGTCAGCTTATTGCCCCCACAAACGGGGTCCTCAATTTACCTACCTTAGAAAGGATGGAAGGCTGAGTCAACCTTGAGCCTGGCAAGATTCGAACTTACTAATTGCAGACAGCTGGAGTTAAATTACAATGCATTAGTCTGCTGAGCTATCCAGGCTCCTTTTAAAACCTTCAATCCGGGGAGATTTCATTTGAACCCTTTTCCAAAATAAGGTTCGCGTTCTTAGTTTGCAGCGCTGGATGCGAATGGGAAAAGACTCGTGGAAAAGCAGATTCCGGGGAAAACTGCAGGGACGGTGGAGCAGAAAAGCTTTAAAAAAAACAAACAAACCCAAAAACCTGCTAAAGATTTTCCCCCTCCCTCCTTTGGATGTAAACGGCACTCCAAAGATGTGCAACTGGGCCTATCCGTTGTCTTGCAAAAGGAAAACGCGCGTGCGTCCACCCAAAAACAATATTTCGCTTTAGTTCTTAGCAATCGGTTCGTAAATGGTTATTAAGTCGGGGGTAGCCTCAAATGCTCGTGAAGCTGTAAAACTTCGCAAGCAAAACAAACAAAACGAAAGCAGGCTGACTATAGGAAAGGAAGGAAAGAAGGAAGGAGACGGGCGGAAGCAAAAGAGGAGAGGCGAGCATCGCGTGGAAGCATTTTTAACCTATTATTATTATTATTATTATTATTATTATTATTATTATTATTATTATTATTATTATTATTATTATTATTATTATTATTATTATTTAAACAAGGGTTATTTTGGTTCCGTCGTCTCTTGTCAAACGGATTAGCAGATCGGAAGGTGCAAACTGGTCGTGGTGGTGGGGGCAGCGCAGGCTTTGCAAAAGTTTTAAGTTTTCTCGGCTGTGACTTCTGGGGGTGGGGTGGGGGGGGGGGAGGGAACGGAATTGCCTTGGGGCAGCTTCACTTGCCAACGACCTGAAAGGCTGAACCTTGTTTTCGGGCTGCGGTGGTTGGTTGCCTTGATGGCTACTTTCGCTCTGCTCTTTTGTGCCTTAGGAGGCCAAGGAAGGGCTTTTTGGCTGTTCAAATAACTCACAAATCAAAGGCCTTTTTTGGGGGGGGAGGGGAGACAGTGGGGGTGGGGGGGACGGCCAGCAGAGTGTGTTGGGATTGTGAGCGACTTAAGTCGTGGCTTGGCCTGAGAAGCGAAGGGACTGGATTTCTGGGGGAGGGGGAAAAATGGAACCTGTGGACACTTGTTGACGTGTTTGGCTTTTTATATAATCGCGGGGAAGTTTTTAAAAAGGTCATTAAAATTCATCGGGTACAGGCAGAACTCGCCCTGGGGAGAAAAGGGGGAGAACCCCCCCCTTCTGGGAACACGTGTAGAGAAAACGTCGGAGAGCAAAAAGGGTTCTTTTTAAATAATAATAATAATAATAATAATAATAATAATATAATAATAATAATAATAATAATAATAATAATAATAATAATAATATGCTCCTCTCTTAAGGTGTTCCTTTACTGAGGCTGTCAACCCCCCCCCCCAAATCCGATGAAGAGATTTCCCCGGGGCAATCGGAGCAGGGGGGAATTAAAATCTGCAAGGGGGTCATTCTTGTGCGCAGCTCCCTGGATCGTACAGCGCGCCCCAGTCTTCAAAGTGGGGCAAGGGAGACAAAAGTTAACGTAATCCCCTTCTTCTTCCTCTTCCCCCTGGTTTTAAACAGGTCTGCCGTTAATAAACCTGGGTGATGCCGGGGCCAAGGCTTGGGCCAACTCGCCCTTGGGGTGCTCGGGGTAAGACCTTCCTTCTCGTTGGAGCTTTCTTCCCCTTTGACCTACCTAACCCTAAAAGCTGGGACTTCAAGGGGACGGGCGGCGCTTGGCAAAGACCAGGGATGCGTGGCACAAATCGCTGCAGGCCCCCCACAGAAGCCAAGAGACCTTCTCTCGCTTCCCCCACTCCACACCCCCAACCAGGGGAAAAAAAGGCTCTTTGCAAGCTTGCCGGGGTCGAACCGGCTGTTTGAGAGGCAAAAAGCCCGGACGGAGGAAGGTGGGGGGGGAACCACAGGGGGAACGGCGGTGGCAACTGACTTTCCCCTCCCTGCAAAAAGAGAGCAAGGCCGGCCTAGCTTGCATCTCTGCGGCTGGAGACAGCCAGCAGTCTCGGTGGGGAACCCTATGGACGGCGTTCCCACGATGCAAATTCAGCAGCTGGCACAATTCTAGTCTCTGATCCAAAGCTGGGAACGCAAAGGCTGCAAAGGAAAGCTCTCGGCTGCGTTGGGAACGGCGTTCTTCAGGATTCTTCTCTGCGCCTTCTTTATTTCAAGGGCTAACCGCTGTCGGAGGAGGAGGAGGAGGAGATGCCCGGGGCACAGGGTTTCTCTCCACAGCTGGGATATAAACCTGGCTTTTTCCCTCGGCGAAGCGACTGGAAGAAAGAACCTGCAGCCAGACGAGGCCTTCCTTAGCGCACCGGGCCCTGCGAGGAAGCAGAGCGAAGATGGAGAAAAAGAGAGAAATTCTATAGTGAGACCATCACTTCCACAGCCAACTGAGCAGGCATGGTTAGAAGAAGAGGAAGAGGAGGAGGAGGAGGAAATGGCAATGGTCGTAGTACTACGACTGGTAGGGAGAAGAAGAGTCACGGACTGCAACGCAACTGGACTTTCCTAAGAATGGCGAGCTTGGAAGGAAGGCAGCAACGGGGCAAGAGGGACCACCGTTCCCTATCGCAGGGCTGGGAAAGAATTTGGGGGTGGGTTGGAGGAAGGGGCTCGACTCCCGAGAAGAGAGAGAAGAGCTGGACTCTTCTCTTGGGGGTGCAGGCCTGGAAGAAGCCAACCTGCGAGGAAAGGAAGGCTTCTTCCATCCCTTAGGAAAAACCGGCAAGGCCAAGGGAAGGGAATGGACTGAATTCCCACGACTCGGGAATCCCCAATTCCTGGGGAAATGCTGGGTGAATTGCACGGACGGGGATGGTTTGTGCCCCGAGAGCCTTGGGCGACCCCAGCCGGGGGGGGGGGGGGGGGGGGGTTGGGGGGGGGGTTTTTTTTCTAATTGGGCGTGGGGGGGGAAGGGAGGCGCTTTTTTTGGGTTGGGGGGTTCGGGGTTTTTTTTGGGGGGGGGGCTGTTTCCAGCTGGACACCCCCCCCCCAAGTTGAAGGTGGAAAGCAGCTGAGCTGATGAGCCAGGAAAAGTTCGTGCAAGCTTTAAGGATACTTGCGAGGCCTATAAGAGCGCCTGTAAATGTTGCGGTAACTAACGCAGGCCGTTTAGCAAATGTTAAGTGGGGTTTTTTTTAATTAAAAAAAGGCATCATCAGGTTGTATAAACGGGGATATCGCGAGCCTCTCCTGCTTCGGAGCAGAAAGCCTGCAGGCTGGAAGGACTTTGGGCCAGCCGCTGTCTCTCAG